GGTTGATTCATTCGCCCGTATTTCTATCCTTTTATCTCATACTACTATGTTTTCATTTTTATTTTCAGACTTGTAGGGTTTTTATTCGTACCTTTTATTTTCTGACTATTCCCGCTACTATTTTATTATCTAACTATTTGTGTGTTTTGAGAATGTCTAACAGAGCTAACATAAACTACATAACTCTTGGATGTTGAGTTCAATGATTGACAGCACAAATAGGTGACGGCACCTTATCGATCGATATACATCACCTTGTATCGATCGATATGTCGAGGTTGAGGTACGATTGTTCCTACTAACATGAACGTATTTGCTACATTATTTTTCATTTCCTCTTAGACTAAGAACACTGGGGACAATGTTGTTTAAGTCTGGGGGGGTATCTACAAACATTTTCATTTTTACTTTTATTTTTATTTTTATTTCATTTTCTATAAAAAAAAAAGAGACAACATGTGTTTTACTAATAAGGAAGTAATGATTATATTTAGACTTGTTACCTAACCACTTCTTAGCACCACGCTTAGATTTTTCAGTTACAGAAGGTACTAGAGACACTAAAGCGGATCACCTCTTAGCTATAATAACACTTGTTAACAATGTATGGAAGAACCAAAGCCGATTTCCAACCTAACCTGACATCTATTGCTTGTCTTGGGGCGTGGTATACAAGGGATCGGAATCCTCCTGCAAGTCTAGAAGGTAAAAGTCTCAAAAATTTTGGTTTCCTTCTCTCCTTCCTTCAGCATCCCCAGAAAATAAAAAAACGATATGATTTCCTGAGAGGCAGAGGGAGAGGTACATTACCTATGACCCCACTATTCTAAATCAAAGGAATGATCGAAGCGAGGGAGAGGTACATTACCTATGACCCCACTATTCGCTTATACTTTGTCAAGGAAGATCAATAAGATGAACATTAGTTGTTCATTGCGATTGATATAAAAAAATAAAAAGAGAAGAAGAGAAAAGAAAGAAAGAGTTGGGATTCAGAGAAGAGGGATAAAGAGAGAAAGGGAACCAGGATGAGAATGCCTGAAACTTGTTTGAGTTGAATCCAAGTGTTCCTTGATCGATACTCCCAAGGTAAAGCCTACACCTTTATTTTATGCATAAATGAGATTGGCAGAGGGGATAGACAAACAGGATCATTAAGTTGTTGACTAGTTGAATTTGGTTGCTAAGCCTAGATATTGTGTAATGTATTTCTGGAAATTGATAGATATCTGATGTGGCTTGCAATAAGTAGAGAGGTGACGGTCCTAAGTCTAGAATTGTAAGAACTTCCGCCTTTCAAACCTTTTCTAGACAAATGTTCTATTATTTGCTTGAGGACAAGCAAAAGGATAAGTCTGGGGGAGTTGATATATCATGGATTTTACCCATTTTCAGCCATGATTTATATATGTGTTTGGAAACAAAAAGATACTTTAGTGTCTTTTTAGAGCTTTTACAGATTCAGGTACTCACTGGTGTAAAACATGCATTTTGGAGCTAAAATGGTGACTTTATGAAGATATGAGCAAAATGATGTTTAAGCTATCGACCGATGCACGTTGAGAGCAATCGACCGATAGATGGTTACCCGTATCGATCGATAGACGACATTTTGCATCGATCGTTACATAAGTTATCCAATCGATTAAATGAAGATTAGAAGCCTTAATTGCTTCACAAGAGTTTTAATAATTTACACACTAAGTCCATGGCTGCCTGTTAGGCTATATTAAGAGGGTTTTGTACCAGTTTAGGTAGACAACCTTGGAGACCTTTTAGACTTAATTAGAAGAAGCATCTAGCTACACTTTAAGAGGAGTTTTGATGGAGAGAGAGATCTGAACTACAATTACAAAGTCTTGAAATCCCTTTTTACTTATTGTTTCTTTTTATTATTATCTTAAAGTATTATTCAGACCATCATGACTTTGTCTCTCATGAATACGTTTGAGTAGTCTCTCTTGTTAGATTTAGGTTTCTCATTAAGGTAGACTCATGCATTGAATTGAACCATTATTAGGGTGTTTAAAATATAGTTCTCAATCTAGTTATCAATGAATGCTAAGGTCAAGGATTGATCACCCTTGCCTCTGATTTTAGGATCAGTTTGGACAAGCGATAGCTTGGCAAATACCCTAAGTCTAAGTTAATTTAATGAAAACAAGATAATCCATTCAAACACACCTTTACCACTCGCTGGATGCATTATCGATCGACGAGACGATAGTCGTTTCGACCGATATAGCGGCATTTACATCGAGCGATAGCTTCGACAGAAACATCGATCAATATTCCCTTCAGGTTATCGAACGATAGTCCTAACCTGAAATCCAGAGGAGTTAATTCTTAATTTCCTTAGGGTTAAACATTTGAGTGATATCAGTACTCAGGGATCAAATCCACAAGGAGCTAGGCAACCTATTAAATCTAATCAATCAATAACCTAGGTGAACATAAATAATAAAAGCAGTAAACAAGTAAATATGAAATATTCCAATTAAGCAGGACAATTACTTAATCGAGAATGGAATAAAGGCTTTTGAAACTAAACTAAAAAGAGCGCTAGACTTAGGGTTTTTATTCAGGCATTGGGCTTATAATCATATAGAAGCTATTCAGTTGCTTGCATTGTACTATAGATCATTAACTATCTTAATCAACAAATCTATTAAACTCTCATTTGAATAAATAAGTCTAATGACCGGGCGGTCATACTTGACAGCGTCGAGCGATTATTCAGTTGGAATATCGGTCGATACACTATACTCATCATCGATCGCTTTCCTGTCAGAATATCGATCGATGAGTCCGGTCAAGCAATACACGCAAGTTAACAAAGACTCACTAAAGACTTCTTGATCAAATTTTCGATGTATTTCTAGCAATCCTAGCTAATAAGGATGTATTCAGAATTATCATAATTGCTTAAATGTCTTTAATCCAACCTAAGTAATCCAAGATTCAATGTTCCTAGTTAGCTACTCTAGAACATGAGCATTAAGAACATCATGTTCATGAATAGCACAACTAGCAATCCTATAGTTGTGGCTAATCCCTCTAACCTATTTAAACCTTAAATCTAACAAGTGAACTACTGAGACATAGCC